CCCCAAACCCCCAAAACCCCAAAACCCCAAAACCCCAGTAAAGGATGTTATTAGTTCTTAGATATTATTTTTATAAATTTTAATATTAGAACATGGCTATGTCATCATATGAATTCATCAAGCATGATTCTGCCTCTGAATCCGATACCATGACTATTGAAACTGGGTTCAATACGGAAGAGATATGAGAAAATAGAAGTATCATCAGCCTCGGCCAAGGAGGAAGTCAAAAAATACCCAAGAGATCCAAATCAGTCGGTGAAACTCCAGCTCCACCTTCTGCAGAAAATGTTCCTATTATGACTCCGGCTCTTCAGGGTATTGACGAGAAAGAACAGTCCGAGTCTTTTGAAAGTGGTGATCCTCAGGTGAATAAGAGTGCTAGTGAGACTCCTGTAAGCCCTCCTGCCCGTCAAAACAGCCTTCCAATTGGTCTAAAAAGATTTACCAGTGATATGAAATAAACTCAGACCTATTGAAAGAAACTCTAAGCTCGATATTGAGAAGATCATCCAAGAGTCAGAAAATGTTAAGAAGAAGAGAGTTATGAGATCTAACTCTCTTAGGAAGAACAATGACGATTCAGATGAAGTCCCAGATGATGACTGGGCTGATCTACCACATCCAAGTTGTAAGAAAACTGTAAAATTGAGCAAGAAAGAAAGATTCATGGAGCAAATATGTATTAAAAAGGTCTTAGCACATTGGGATGATATCTTCAAAGTAGCAGTAAAAAAGAAACAAAGGAAGGTCATACTCTCAAAGGATGAGTACTGAATTGACTATAATGTTCAGAATAAAAGGGAGCTGATGCTACCACCTGAGTATTACCTTAATTTAACAATTTTTGAGAAACATTACTTGGAAAATTATCGTGGCAAAGATCCCAACTGGGAGGTTGGCACTCTCAGGATGTACCTCGGCCAGAGATATAACATCAAGAGTGATTTAATCCATCTCTCCAACATTGCTGATTTCTGTAAGGTAGATATGGTAGATCTTTTTAAGAAAAAGTTTAAGCCAATTCAGAATAAATTGCTCAATAAAGTTAAGAAAAGGATCAAACTTAAAAGTTTACGGAAGAAGGTAGAGGAAGAACGGAAAAAGAAGCTTCGCTCTAGCTCTATATTTGCGGTACAACCAGGTAAATAAAGTGAAGAGTAACCCTAATCAAAAACTTGGGGTGAAGGATGACCTTCCGAAGCCTGTAGAACCTATTCAGGAAAATGAAGAAGAGGAAGAAAATGTATCAAATTTATCAGATCATCAGTCTGAAAGAATTAGTATTCTGGACTTGATCACTATAATTAATGAAAAAGTGAAGGATTTGTCAAATTCTTTTGAAATTTTCGCAAAGAAGAATAAACAAGGCAAGGGCTTTATGAATATTTATGCCTTCAATTCCTTCATGGGAGTTGAGCTTGGACTCAAGCTCACTTCAGCCAACAAGAGAGGACTCTTTACAGTCATTGACTGGAATGATGATGGGTATTGCACTGAAAAAGAGTTTAGGATTGTGTTTGCTACGACAAAAGAAGATATTCAAAAGGCTATTCAAAATCCGATAGATTTTAAGAACGGGCTTATCTTAGATTTTGTTATTGAACAGATCTACCATGACATTGTCATGTTCAAGAAAGAGTCCATCAGCGAGCTTGAAGAGAAGCTCGACAGGGAAGGAAAGATTGAGATCAGCAGGCTAGCAAAATACCTAGGTTTCTACAATTGCAAACTTACTGATATTGAAATAGACATCTTGGCTGGAGCCGGAACTGATCATCCCAAAACTGGTAAAAGGATGGTGCCTTTCAGGAGACTCATTGAGAGGTCAATGTCGAGAATTAACATCAGAATTAACTTCAGACCATCATATAAAAAGATGAAGACTTCTATTGGAACCGAAGAAGACAGAGAGACAAGGAAGGACCAAATGGCGATCTATTATGAGAAACAGCTAAAAGAGAAGCAAGAAAGAGAGGCTGAAGAGAAGAAAAAATTAGAACTTGTTAAGCTAAACGAGGACCAATATTCTCAGTTTGAAGATAGCGATGGCACTCCTATGCCTCAAAAATATATGTCTCCAGCTATCCAAAAGAAGATAGAGAGTGTTAAAGAGGATTTTGGGCAAGAATTTTTGAAAATGTATCAAAAGACTTTATTTGATACTATTAAAAAGTCGCCAAGTAAGAAACCCCATTACTCAACAATGAAGAAGCAGTCTAAGGCTTACCTACAGAGTAATCCATTTATCAATCCTGATGTGGGCATCCCAAAGATGATGGTGTACGACACCAAGAGTAGTAGGACCAATAACCGAATGGTCAAGGTCAAAAGCGACACTGCTATCATGCCTCAGAACAATAAATTTAAGACTCTCCAAAACAATATTAACCTCTTCAGACATGAATGGAGCTCGGGCATAAGAAGAAACATTGGACCTGTAGCAAAGTCACAGAAGCACTGGCTTAATGACAGGTCACAAGGAGGCTTTGAGAAGTTATCCAGTTTAGAAGCAAGACCAATTTATACCAAGACAGAGCAAGGATTGTACTCTGGGATCCAAGGACAAGCTGTGAACCGAATGAACCGGAATAGTAAGACTGGGAATTACAGGAAGAAAGGAATCAAAAAGAGAAAAGCTATTGTGAAAATGGCCACTTTTACTAAGGATGATATCTTGAAAATTGTTGAAAAGCTCAGTTCAGCATATGAAACTCCCTTCACCATTGAAGGTCATAAGGAAAAGTTAATAGAGGTTATCTTGAAGAATCCAGAACTTCGTACTACTTTACTAAAATCTGAAGAAGGAAAAAGGGAGAAAAAGTATTCAAGCGTTCCAGCAAGTGTTGAAAAGATGAGACCTCAGTATGATTCTTCTCCACAGATAGGACCGGTAACACCATATTTGAATGGTCCACAGCAACCAATTCGTAAAATTGTGAAATTTAAGCAGATCGAAAATCTCGGCACAAGAAAATATCTTCTATCTTACAAAAATTCCAAATTTTCAGAAAAGGAGAAAATAGGTAAGAAGCTTTACAGCCTATAATATTAAAATTATCTAATTTCATGCATATGAATGCTTAAACCTCAATATGAGCCTTACACAAGCTCATTAGGATACACATTTTTATTTTTTTACATAATGAAGTCCCTAAATCACTTAATTATTACCAAGAGAGTCTTAAGACTAATTTAACTAAGCTATCTGCTCTTAATACACAGTTTTTAAAGCTCATAGCCTGGATCTAGAATCAAAATTTAAATTTTTAGCAAACTAGAGCTTGAATATACTCCAAATGTCAAGTTGATCTCTTAACTCCCAATATAGTGAATGTATTCTACAACCTCTTTAGAGAGTACAACTTCAATAAAGAAGAAGATAAGGACCTTATTCTCAGACAAATCAGGTATTCTGAAAGCTAATCTTTAGGAAAATATACCCTAGCGCTCTCTATGTTAGTGGCAAGAAGATATAGGTACTGATACTTTTGATCTTTCACATATTATCTGACCTATCTGGAGTTTCTGCCATTTTTAGATTCTGACAATAAATTTGGAACCAAAAGAGTTTAAACCTTCTATAGACCATATACTTAAGGCTTTCATGACCAACGTGTAAGCTTACAGAATTATTGCATAGATTTCAACGCGGTAGAATCTTGGTGAATATCCAGAAACTTAAGGTAAGTGAGCCCTGATGCTAACTTCAAGTATAAACAATTGACCAGTTTATAACCATAGTTTTGTGTCGGCTTGCAGGTTTACCATCCTTTGTATCATCCTCAGAGGTGATTTGTTCCGTATAGCAATTTATCAGAGAAGAAAGAGCTACTTTGAAACATGTTAAAGGAATGAAAGCTGAACAAAGAAGTAAATCAATATTTTTGGCCAAAATGTACAATGACACTGAGCAAAGGAAGGTATGTCAAATTATAAAAATCTATGTCTCAAAATACTCATATTCATTATTCAATTAACCTCTTTAGCCAAAACTACCAGAACCCTCAAAACCAAATTCCAATCTTGTCCACCTCCGAACATTCAACCTCCCAGTAAAATTCCCAACCAACACCCAAAGAGGCACCCGAATTCCCTACCTTGAATCCACTCGTAAATGGAAATCCAGTGGAAAAATCATCCCTCTCCAAGGCCTAAAAATCTAACTCCATTCAATAACCCTCTCTTCTCCGGGGTTTTGGGGTTTTGGGGTTTTGGGGTTTTGGGG